TTCATTACCTCTGAAATCCTTCAGCAATTCTCTTCCACAACTCAAAGACCTGCAGCTCTGTAGAGGCAGAGGCAACTCCCTGCACCCTGTCCTACTGCACAGAGCAGGTGTCATGGAAATACAGCCCAGGGCCACCGAGCGAAGCGGACTCACAGAGAGCCCAGAGGTCAGACTAGAACTGCTTTACAGGGTTCCGGAGGCTGCCGATCCCTTCAGGGGCCGAGTCGGATCTTTCTCCTGTGGAGCACACAGTAGGTTTGAACCACTGACTTTGAGGTTAACAGCCTAATGCCTACCACATTACCCCTCCACGAGTCCTGTCATGTGACTACAAGTCTTACTTTAATCCTCAATGAACCTTTAATCACGTAAGATTTAGTGGAGAAAGATAATCAAGTAAGTAACAGTCACTGCAGCTGGGAACAGGGCAGAATCTTCCGAACGAAGGTGGTGCGCTGTTATTTCTGCACTGCGCGACCTCAGCCACCGCGGGGGCGGGCCCGTGGTCTCGCACTGCTCCCCTCCCTTTCCGACGCTGGGAGCCACAGGAGCCACAGGCATCTCGTGGCATGGCTGGCATGCTCTCCACACGTTTCACTTCAGGCCAGCCCAGCCGGAGAGGCCACAGGGCATGGTTACAGTGTCCACCTAAACCCGGAGGAGGGCCCGGAGTCAGTTTCCACTTCGGAGCAGGGAGGAACTATTAGTCCTCAAAATGACCTTGTAGGAAACAACAATTGCTCTGCGAGGGGGGTGGGGGAGAGAGAAGGGAGCTCTTGATAACGTGATTCGACATCAGAAAATCAGGAGCTGGCTGGCTAGTAACGTGTAGGGCTTAGGAAAGGGGAGTTTGTCACCAAACCAGACACAAAAGAGAGGTAAATGGGCTGGGGGCAGGGGCGGGCGTGTCTGATGGTAGGTACTTAAATAAGAACAAAATCAAACGCAGTATTGAACAATAGCAGTGACAAGGAAGAAGCCGACAGATATCGTGAAAACACATTTCAGCGCCTGTGGTCTGACTTAGGAGTCTGTTCGGTTCAGTCACAGCCGCCTGAACAAAGAGCAGCACAGACAACAGAAAGTCACTCAACAGGCAAGCAGCAGGCGGCTGGGAGCAATCACACCTGGAGAAGGAAGAGCACAGGAAAGAGGCTTCCAAACACTTAAGGGTTAATCAGCGAGGGGGCTGTCAACGGCTACTTAAAATGATAGGAGCCAACTGCCAGGGAGCAGCTCGCGTGCTGAGGGCCGAGCGCTGGGCTGCTAGCTACAAGGCCAGCTCCAAACGGCCAGCAGCCCCTCTGAAGGAAGACGAGGCTTTCTGAGCCCACTGGGACCCACCGCATCGGAACCCCCGGGGCAGTCCCGCTATGCCCAGAGGGTTGCAGTGTGAGAACGGGCAGACACCTCCACGGCATAAACACGCATGACAGTCATGACAGCCACATGAATGGTAAAACAAAACACCAAACAAACCAAACAGCCACAGCCTAAGTCTAACGAGCACGATGAGTTACTAGCAAGTGCAGACATGACGAACACTCCTGGGGTGACCGTGACTGCAGAACACAGGCAGGCCGTGACGCAGTTGCTGGAAACACGTGTACACATGGCAGGAGGCTAGGGGCTGCACTCCTAGGGGCCCCGGAGGTGTCTGGGGGTCGCCTTTGACATTGAAGCTTTCCCATTTATTTTAACTTGGCACACTGGTGCCAGTTACCTGCTGGCTACGTGCCATCTCTGACTGTTGGCATGGTGGCAGCTAGCAGCACCACGTCCTTACTTCGTGCCAGGTGCTAGAAAGCACGTCTCACAATAGCTCTGAGGGGGACGTCCTTGTCATTCCTCAGACAAAATGACCCAGGGAGGCGAGAGAACTCACCCAAGGTCATTTGGTGCTATGGCAGGGACAGTGCTGAGACTTAACCCCATAGCAGTGTGCCCACAGAACCTGAGAGCTTGATGTGTCCCACGCCGCCTCCCCAGACTGCACAGCCACAGGGGAAAGTCATGGTAGTAAACTGTACATAGATTAGGGTTACACCTGACTTTAGGGTGTTTTCCAAACATGTTATACCGTGGTGCGTTGCTTTTTACAAAAAAAATCCTAGGATTCTAGAATGGTCAATCCCACATCAAACCAACAAAAAGGATACTATAGAGAAGTCGAGGTGTTTATCCATCCATCCATCTGATAAGCCACTTGCCACCTGCCTGCCATGTGCTAGTGGTTGGGCTGGATGCCGAAGAGACCCAAGTTATCTGAGGTGCTTCCACTCAGATGGCAACGCCCCTCCGTGGCCTAGAGGGACACGCTGTGTGCAAAGGACAGAGCATGCTGCCCCAGGTTCAGGGGCAGGAGAAGTCGGGCTGGTTATCTCAGGGCTCCAACATGGCTCCACCCACTTACACCAAGACCGCCAGCCAAACCACCTGGGACGGGTGCCGTGATGCCTGGGGTGCCTCTCCCGAGGAAGTCCCTGTGGCCTCTACTGGGCCGCTATGTCGTTAGGCCCCTTGGGGAAAACTGGACAAACACATACAGTTGAAAGACAACCAACCATGTCTGGAGTTTAGCTGTCACTGGCTCTTCGGAACGGGAACCTACTATCTAACCAAGCTGCATCCTTAAGAGACAACCGTCACACTCAGGGGCCCTCGACGGCACCTGGGTGCCACATCTGAGCGCCTCCTCCTGATGGAGAGACAATGTGTTTGGGAACCACATGTCAGATAAAACAACTCTCTTGGATAGTACACTGAGAATTTTCATTGAGGGATTAAAAATCAAACAAAACAAACAAAAAACATCCTGTGCTCATAATAAATATAAGGGGGCTTGCTTCCAAAAGTTCATGGGGAAATGGAATGAGAAGAAAATAAACTTTCTCCATGAACTTTCTTGTGGAGAGCTGGTCAGACTCCATTCTACTTTCCTGAAAATAATAGTTATGAACATAGAGACACAGACACTTCCTTCATCCTCCTTCACTGTTCTGCCTCTTAGTGAGGCCAATCTAATCTCTCTGGAACCAGGTCCTTCAAGCCCTGGGTTGCCAGACAGGAATAAAAAAGTGTGATATTGAAACAAATTCAGTTCAGCTGGTGGAGCGTTTCGCTCCACTGAGACTCCATCGTGTGCGAGGAGGAGCAAACGGCATTCACAACGTGCTGCTGTGTCACGTGCCTCACCTGCGATACAGCTTGGACTGTCCGAAAGTCACAATTACCAGTGGTACGTGGAAGGTAGTCAAGACTAGGATGACCTGGGGAGAGACAAAAGTAGACAGTCAGTAGGAAGCTAGTCCGGGTACATGTTGGGATGGGACAGGATCACATCAGCAGGGGAAAAACTGCCCATAGCCCTACTCTGTAGTAGCCTCTATTTTAATATGTCTAGAAATCAAGAAGGACCAGGTACGAGGACTTATAACTCGTTTCATTAGTAATGATCCATTGCCCACACTTGGAGTGGAGTGGCAAGGTACTCCTCTGCACACTACACTTCAAGGACAGAAGGACATTGGGCCTCCACTCAAGTACTCCTTCAACATAAGAATATTTTCTTCTAGTAAATTGGCATTCTAAGATGCTCACCTTCCCGACACAACCGCTGAAGACAAATGGGTGCATAAGCAAATGTGGCGAAGAAAGCTGATGGTGCCCGGCTATCAAAAAGTATAGCGTCTGGGGTCTTAAG